GATTTTGTTTTGTTTGTTTGTTAAGATATGCAGAGAACATTATTAAACAGTTTTTCATTATCAACTAAATTAGAAAGATGATTTTGTTTTGTTTGTTTGTTAAGATATGCAGAGAACATTATTAAACAGTTTTTCATTATCAACTAAATTAGAAAGATGATTTTGTTTTGTTTGTTTGTTAAGATATGCAGAGAACATTATTAAACAGTTTTTCATTATCAACTCAATTAGAAAGATGATTTTGTTTTGTTTGTTTGTTAAGATATGCAGAGAACATTATTAAACAGTTTTTCATTATCAACTCAGTTAGAAAGATGATTTTGTTTTGTTTGTTAAGATATGCAGAGAACAGTTTGCAGCTCTACATAGTCAACCCATCCTTGAAAACTTGTCAGAATTTTTGGTACAGAAGTTTGGATTCCCTGAACAGTGAGTTTTCTCTTTGTATAAATTCAATATATGTGACACAAAATATATTAAGTTGATAAATATGTGTTTTTACCAGTATATATGAATAAAATAACTGGAACTGTGATTCGTTACATGAATACTAACATATTTAACAGTGTTTGAATTTCTGATTTAATTAAACTTGAGCCTAATTATCTGTTAGAGAAGCTTCTGTGAATTAGACCACAAATATCTTTAAATGGAACTAATTTATTTTTCTGTAACTCAGGTATATATTTTACTACTCCCATAAAAGCAGTAAAAGTTAATAATAGGTAACTCTTTTAAATGGAATGCATGTGATATTGATGTTATTTCACGTAAAGGGTTTCATGTTTCAAATGGAAGCAAAGAACTTTGTACGAACATCTGTCATAAGACAACCTGAATGTATGTTTTATACCCAAAAATAAATGTGTGGTAAACAACACAATAAATTCTGGGTTTATAGAGAGAAAATCATGAAAATACCTGAATTAATGTTATATTTAGAAGAATGAATGTTACATTTATGCTTCAATGGAGCAATACTGTTGATGGTTTGTGTAAGGACAAATAGAATTTATTGTGAAGGATTAACTAACACTTAAACCAGTAATAAGTGTAATAAAAGTACTGGTTTTTACTACTACTCAATACATACCAAAAATATATTTGAAATATTCCTGTATTTATGTATAAGTATGTAAAACAACAAAGGAATAAAAATGTAAATTTTTATCCCAAGTATTTTGTTTTAAAATTTGGAAACCTAACAACAAAGAAAATTCAATATTTACTTGCGTCCAAAGTAGTAAAAAAAATAATTTTTTAGGTTGTGTAATAAAAAATATTTTTTTTATACACACACACATATACAGACACATGTATATAACTTAATTTCCAGCTCTGTTTATAAAGTTATTTCTGTTTACTATTTAACTGCTTGAGAATACTAACGAACACTAAGGGAGGAAAAGCAGTTCAGTTGAGTTTATCACAATGAACTTGTTGTCAATGTGAAAGCAAAACTGTCTGAACATTCTAAGTCTCAGATTTTTGTTTCCTTTATAATTTTTTGGGAAATGTTTGAGAAACAAGCAACAAAAATATGTTTTTATATTTTAAGGTTGTTAAAAATGGCATTTTAAAACTGTTATAATTTTTACCAAAACACAATGTATGGGAAATATAAATTATTCATTAAATAAAAAGAATATCTATAAATATTGGTTCCTCTATAACATCTTCCATTCTAAGAAATGTTCACTGTTATAATGTCATTTACCTTCATTGTCGTGGAGGGTAGACATATGTTAAAACAGTGGTATGATCTGAGACACAAATTATTGCTTTGTTACATACACAGAAGCCAGCCAATCACAGCAGGCTGTTGCAAATTTGATGCAAGTGTGTGGGTTATAGGCCAGCAACAGAAAGTGGAACCTCTTTCAAACAGTAGTATGGTTGCTCAGACATTTGGACAAGTCAGAGCAACATAATCAGACATCTTCTGTCTGTTAACTCTGGCTCACTTAATCAGATCTTCACAATCTCAGTTGAACACCATGTGATAAAGCTGACCTATATGCATGTTCATAATCAAAGCTGGGTGTTGTGTTGCACGACTGGCTTGTATCAGTGAAGTGCATTCTGATCACAGCAAGACACAAAACTGCAATATTACTGATTATCAGACAGGACTGATAGATGAACATGGCTATTTTCAGCTATGACAGCATCTTAAATACATAATTTGATAAAATTCCAGGCCATTAGGCTGTATCAAATGACATATAATAACTATCATTATATTCCCTCTCAAATAATAGTAAAGGCTTCTTACAATAATATTAATAACTGGTAAAGCCCTCTCATCGTGAGGTTATTTTAACTTTTTCATAGCAGATTATCAGCTGAGTTTTTACTTTTATTGTAAGAACTTTAATTTGTTGAATTTCACACTAAGATATGTGAGGGCAGTCTATACCAGCCATTCCTAATTTTGAAGTAATAGATTAGAGGGAAGACAACTAGTTAACCCCAACCACCGCCAACTCATGAATAGTACGATGTGATCATCACTCTTTTAACACACCCCCAAGCCCAAAATGAAAAGCATGCCATTATGTTTTGGTGGTAACAAAGCACAAACTCTGGAACCTCAGATCTACAGCTCAGCATCCTAACCTTTGGGTCACACATGGCCCCAACTTCAGTTTACTGCTGATATTATGATAGAATAAAACAGTAACAATCACAAACAATTATTCAGATACATTAAACTATCTGAGCTTTCAACTGGGTGGATATTATGTTGCTCCACTTAAGGTCACTTGGAATTTATCTAACTATTCTTATCAGCATTGCTCAAAGGTCAAGGGTGGCCCTCTGTTTTTTTCTAGAGTATCACTATGGTGATTCTTCATTAGCTCCTTAATATCATTGTGGTCTTAAGTCTCAAGCCATTTGGAGTTGGGACCAAATGATGCTGATTTTTACAAATTAATCAGATCATAGATAGTACTAAGAGTGTGTGTGTGTTTGTTTCATAACTTTTCCTTGACTTTGGTACCTGTCGTTCAGAGCTGATTACTTGTGTATACATTCATAAGATTCCTTGCTCTGTAACAATAAAGAATTCAATTTTGTAGTGTAAGATTTTCTATATATATTTCCTTTAAAGCACAGAGTAGTCAGGCCAGTTGGATTCTAATTGCAGAGTATGCAATATTTTTATCCAGCAATGTAACTGATGGACTATTAGTTAAAAGTCTTGTTCTGTATGCCATAAAATCTGGTTAAGGATCTTCTGATTCTTCCCAAAATATTCTTCTCCGTTTTTGCAGTATATTCAGCCTTTTCTTTATTCTTGGAATAACTTGGGCTGGAAGTATCACGTTTGAATCCATATTTTTCTCATTGTAAAATTAGCATCTGAAAGTTTATTGTATTTCCAGATACTAATTACTCTGGGTTACCATGTCATGCAAATATTGGCTTTACATATTTAGATTAGCACCTTCTGTCTGAAAATTACTTTTCACTTTTGCCTTCTTCTTCTGCACAGATTCAATTTGGTGAGATTTGGTCAGTGCCTTTTCTGGTATTAGATAAGCATCAACTTGATATTTTGTGATGAATTTATGTCTCTGAAATCCACTATTAAACATCATTTTGTTATTTAATGTTCCATGCCCACAATGTTTTCCAACAATAAAGTGCTATAATAAAAGAGCCCACAATGTTTTCCAACAATACAGTGCTATAATAAAAGAGCCCACAATGTTTTTCCAACAATAAAGTGCTATAATAAAAGAGCCCACATGTTTTCCAACAATACAGTGCTATAATAAAAGGACCTACAGTGTTTTCCCAACAATAAAGTGCTATAATAAAAGAACCTGCAGTGTTTTTCCAACAATACAGTGCTATAATAAAAGAACCTACAGTTTGTCTGTTTTTTGCTGTCTCTAATTGAATTTAAGTATTTTTAAATACTGTGTTCTTCCAATCTTCCAAACGATGAAACAAGTTGTCTTTCCTAATGGTAATAGTTTTTTCATTTATTCCTGTGTTAAGTCTTAGTGAACATAATACATTGTGTGCCTCATCTTAAAAACTCCACAGATGGCATAAGGTTTATTTTCTAAATTTTTGTCTAGATGAATCAGTTTTACTGTTTGTTTTTTTATCCACAATAGTTTATGTAGTATTATTAATAATAGTTGGAACTGGAGGATCAACACAGCTGTAATAGTTTATGTAGTATTATTAATAATAGTTGGAACTGGAGGATCAACACAGCTGTAATAGTTTATGTAGTATTATTAATAATAGTTGGAACTGGAGGATCCACATAGCTGTGTTTTTGTCATTGGTGATGATCTAAAACTTCAAACCTCCAGTGAAGTTTTTTAAGTAGTTTTTAATTTAAGTAAACTGAGACAAATGCTTTATCCGCTTCATTGTGTAATTAGATTTCAGATGTGTTCCCCAAAAGATGTTAATTTTCCATCAAAAAATAAAAATCTTAATTTAACCTCTTTTATTACTTTTCCAACTTGAAATGATCACAAAGTTTCCATATCTGGCATTAACATTTCTTGAAAATTATTAAATAAGAGAAATTTTGATTTTCAACCAGAAAATGTGCAAAATTTGTTGAAAAGGGTTCTCTAATATATGACAATAAAATGGCAGTCATTTCAAGACCAGGGGAAATTTGTCAACTGTCGGAGTAAAGGGAAAAAATTTTTGACTGCATTTAGCAGCAATGAGGTTTAATCAACTTCAGAGAAAGGATTAAATCCTATCCAAATGGTGTATGGTTAGGAAATAAACTAAAATTAATCATACATCATGGTTTGCTAAGTCTAGCATGATTGCATTAGCTGTGAGTAAAATTATGGTTATCATAAACTTTTACTTTTCTTAGTGAGGAAGGTTTAAAACTGTTTTTAAAAATGCCTAGTAATATAGAAAATGGGAAGGATTTAAGAGTGGTTTTCTGGCTTGTTTCAGTGAATTAACAGATGATGGCACAACTTCTGATATGGCAAAAAAGAGATTAAATGAAACTCTGTCTAAGATTCCCAAGAAAGGTGAGCTTTACTTTTAGTTTTCTTGAGTGTAGTGAAAAGGTGGTTTGCTGAGGTTTTTAAAAGAAATGTTTTTATTTCTTTGAGTGACATTTTAAATACCTAAATTATAATGTCTAAGTACTTTACATCTTCTTCTAGGGCTTCTTTGCATCAAGTGATAGTACTTCATTTACATAAATATCACAACATCCCTTTCCATGTGTTATTACCCATCATGCTGTATGATGGAGCTTAATCAGTATAAATAAAGAACTTTAGATAAATAGTGCTGAAGAATGTACAAAATTTTATGAAAGTTAGGGTATTGTTACGTCTCCGTTTTTTTAATTAACTGATTTTCCGTAACTTCGTACCGACGAAACTTACGCGACACAAGCCTTTACTTAATAAAACTGGTTTATTCTTTCCGAATATAACTTAACCGATACACTCAACAATCGCGCTAAACAAACGCTATAGCAACGAACATCAATACTACTCTGACCGCAGATCAATTACTCACTATCTCTGCCTCTACATTACATTCCCATCTTTTA